AATTCTGTTATAATTTCAATGGATAAAACACATGGTAGAAATGCCATTGCCAACAACGGTTTTAGTATGAAGTCATCCACCAAACATATTTATATATTGATATATGCTAATACATGAACCTTTTCTTTAATTAGAGGGGGTATAATCAAACGGATGAGACTTTTGATTTAATTGAACTGTTTTATAAAACACAAACTTTCTTTACACTTTAAAAAGAATTGCAACATTGTAGTTTTATTTAAAGATTAGTTTATTTGCTTACGATATTAATTGCAATTTTGGCCTCGTCAATAAATCGCACCAATCAGGCATTAATATACATGTAGCATCCACTTAATATTTATGGTGTTTAAATGGAAATCATCAAAGTCATTTTGTATGAAATACTGGGAATTTTTAAAAACATAATTGGAGCACAACCCATTAAAGTATAATATCTGGGCGTCAACACATATCAAATTAATCTTTTTATGTCAATCTTTTCAGTCTGAATTTAAGGAACGTAATTGTGTATTTTTGTACCGTTTCTATTTCAGTGATGTTTTATTACTTACATATATTAAAGATAAAAATTGCTCACGCTTTCCATCTAGGTCAAATTTAAAGAGATTGATAATCATAGTTTTAAAATTTGTTATGTTATATTTTTTTTTACATGTTTTACTCAGAGCAAACTGTGACCGAACAAACCGTTGTCGAATTATAACCTGATTACTTGCACAAATGATCCAGATGTTTTAATATCAAGTAAAATACTCTTGTTTATTGAAAATTTTACTCTGTTTGCCTCCAATTCGCCCAGCAACAAAGAGGATTATCAAGAAATAATGCATTTTATTTACAGATTGAACACCGGAAACTGTGACGCAAGGTAATGAATTTACCATATTTGAAGGAGTTACGGTAACTGTAATTTAATCATCATAAATACAATGCACTTTGTTGAAGATTTTTTCCATAGATTTTAAACACATTTTCAATATTTTATAATAGAGCCCTACCACTAAAACAGAACATCTAATCCAAAGGTTATAAATCTCGTACATGTAGTTCTTGAAGAAGCGCTCTTTCATCACAATTTTACTCTTAGTTTCTTTGCTTCAAAGACATGAACTAAAAGAATTTTTTCAGAGTTAATGTATTTGACTACATAATCAATAGCACTCCACACTATCACCAGAACCCCTGATGCAGGAACATGACTTTAACAAGTTTTAAAGAAGCAACATTGCTTATCATAACCAATCACTTTATATTTTGTTAAAAATAATATCCAGGAGATAAGATACTAATTTTAAAGAATCAATACATTTTTACTAATTTTTATTTTAAATATAGAGTCTCTACGACCCAGGGGCTATGAAATTCCTATTTTTGAAGGAAGTTCCTTTACTCACCATAATTAGGAACCTAGTTATAGTTTGGTAAATACATAGGAGCATTAAAGAGAATTTTAAAAAAAATTAATTTATTTTCACTCCACCGTTATCAATAACTAAATCTCCGGCAGAAACTCTGACCCAGGGTCTTTGGGATTAATATTTCGAAAGAGGCATATATGTGCATCATATCCATGCAATTTTTGTTAACTGTTAAACATCGTATATCCGTTTTTTTCGCGTGTTAAAAATTTTGCGAAAAGGGGGTAGATTAGTACAGTTTATATTTTGTGTAAGTTAATTTTTACGATTGAAGATTTTTTTTTGTTTAAAATGGTAATGTTTTTATGTCACATTATTGCTGACATAATTTCTGCGTGTTTTATATTTTGCGAATTAAAAATGATCGCAAAAAATGCGAAAAATAGATTATCGCGAAAAAAAAATCGGATATACGGTATATGGGAGAGAAAAACTTAAGGAACTTTTAAAGAAATTGTACATTCTGACTTCGTGATCCCTAAGGTTCCAAACTGCACATCCTTTGAATCTGAGACATGGATTTCAATGAATCTGGAGACATAAATTTTAAAAATGTAGTAAAGAACCATATGTTTATCAAAATTTTGCCAATAGTAAGACTGCTTGATGTCCAGAACTATGAAGATAGCACTAAACTTATAATTTTAGTCCTACTCCTTTGCCCCAGTAGGGATTATGGTAATATCAATTATCTCAACCCTTCATCCATTGATGCTGCATGTGTATTCATACAATATTCATGAAATACAGGCATGTAGCAACGGTTTTCCATGTGGGGAGGGTGGGGTCTCCGAAAAACTCCTGCGTACTACTGAGCTGTGCTACACGTGAGTCATCAGATGTATTTATCCAATGATAGATTTTTTTCTGTACAAATCACAGGCACTTGTTTCTGTAATAAATTTTTGACCCATAGTATAATAATAACACAAGGTATCTAACTCCGATTTACACCCAGTACCCCCCTCCCTTAGAATCGCGCTCATTTACACTTTCAAGGGAAATGCACGGGTAAACTGTTTATACCTATGTCATCTACGATAATTTATCTACACAACCATATATGGCTTGCTTTTCCTTGTTTTCTTTAATCTCCGTAAACAGCGTCGAAACTCTACTCGCAGGGTGGAAAAGGGGGGTACTGGGTATAAATCGGAGTTAGATACCTTGTGTTATTATTATACTATGGGTCAAAATTTATAACAGAAAAAAGTGTCTGTGGTACAAATCCAGAGCAGATGTCAGGTCGCAGCCGTTGTGGGCATCGTATATGAAAATAGCCCGATTTTTTAAAACGACAAAACTATAGGCCAATCGGAGATGAGATTTATTAATTTGGCTAAGCGAGTATTATCAGTCAAAGTAGACAGATCATTGTAAAAAATGCGGAAGAGCGTACATGAATAATCAATGAACATAGAAATTGTTTTAATTGAATTTCGGTTAGAAACACATGCATATGGTCCATGTATTGTAGTCCTTTTTTAAAGGACAACAACTTGGAGTTATTAAGCTGAAATTATTCATGAAAACAAACGCTAAAAAGGGTGGACTGAAAGAAAATGTTAGTTATCATGGTCACAGTGGTAAATGTACAGGTTCTGCGCAACACACTTGTATTTGCGTGGAGTTTCGGAGCAAGAAATCATGCGAGGCTCATGACATAGATCCGAGAAAAGTGTAAGAAAGTACAAGCGTAGTAGTTAACAGATTAATTGTCAATAATTTTGGACCCCACAGAACAAGTCCGTATGTGAAAATCGGACCCCCAAGATAAAAGGTGAAATGTGAAAGTACATCAGAGGAATATCGTTCTAGGGAATTCCGTGTTCTAGAAGACCTTACCAGTTTTTTTTTTTTTTTACTAAATTGTAGCTTTTATTTTAGCATTGGTAATTAAGCCAATTTTTAGTGTTTTTTTTTACATTGTCTAAAAAACTGTTTGAAAATTGATGTTGCTTCAGATTCCGTTGAATTTCATGCCAGATAGCTGCATTTAACATTTTAAAATTAACACAGGTCTCGTTTTTTTTTTTTTAAATTTACATGAGATGTTGGCAGTGACCCAAACATTGTTCGTGCTGTATCAGGGATATTTTGCAGATACAGTACACTTTTGTGATTATTTGCATAAAACACGCCCCTCAAAATTGTACTGTATCCAGCACAGTCAATTTCTATACAAAACACCATCAATTTGAAAGTCGTGTCTGAAGGGAATATTGAGCCCATTTATATCCAGTTAGAGATTGTGCCGTAGTCAAATCTGAAGGTCAGTTAATTTGTTCATATATTTCATATGTAGGTTCTTGATATACAATGATACATATCCAAAGAAACGCAATCATATTTATTTATTATATCCTTCTTACGGAATTGTAGGGATATAGTGACGCAATTGTATAGAAACGCTACCGTGTGTTCTTTTTTTTTGAGTGGGTGAGTAGTTTTATTTTGTTCGAAACGAATGCACAGAATGATATACTCTTCGCAATGGTTTGCTCCACCTTACACTAAACTTGTTACATTTCAATCGACAGTCCTCGGCTGACTCCGTTCAAACCTCGGATGTGTTTGGTGGAGGAATACACATCAGAGCAATACAATTACTACCGTTTGACTCATTTCGTACTTCGCACTGGGTAAAGTTCTTCGAAAAGGTTTCTTTATTTTTCTAATTCTTCATAGTAAATATGTTTTTATTACAACCTTATGTTAGGCTTTGAAAGCAAAAACAAAATGCCGGGAGTGCCACAAAATTGTATGACATTTAAAAGAAATTCAAATAATATCACATGACTATAAATCAGCAAGATGGTAGAACACATAAGACGTCCGAGGTTATGTGCGAGGTACGAGTCATCCGAGTGGTAACATTTTTTTCTTTTTTTCAATTTTCTTCGAGAAACTTTTAAATGTATGACGGTGCATATGAATATCCATTATATGACGTCGAAGTTTTTTTTATATGCGGCGACTACCATAATCGCGCACTGTATAAAATCCAACTTTTTTTAAAAGTAAAAATCTTGAATGAAATTTTCAGGTCTGACTTGAAATAAATACAACTCTCATTATTTTTAATTTTGTTGTTTTACGTTGACTAGTATTAATTTTATTCAAGTTGTGACATTACTTTTGAATCAACCCTAGTTTTAGTATATCTGGACTTAGTTTTCTTTTATGAACATGCCAATTTGGATTTATGCCAAATTCTGTTGATATTGATCCTGTTGTTATGATGCAAAAATATCAAAAAGTGTAAAAAAAAAATACAGACTACAGAAAGCTGAATAAAATGAAATACTTTAGTAAGAAGAGACCCAGTAAGCCCTTTGCAAACACACTGGAGCATAAATTAGGATTTTAACCTTTCAAACACAAGTAAAACAACTCTTTATCATGTCTTCTATTTAACGTTTAAATTAAATGGTTAGTAATTTTAACAAGTCTTTTAAAAATATAAGTGTAAAGCCTTGTGCATCGTATAAAAGGAATAGAAAATTACTGAAGCAAATTAAACTTCCGTTCTATAAATTGTGAGGCTTTTTGCGTTGTGGTTGTTATTAAACATACATACGCAAATTGAGTGAAATACTTCTGCTACAGAATTTGATGCAGGTTTTTTTTATTAAGAGGATATTCACAAATGATCATGACAAGGTTTTTATTTTTCATTACTTTTTCTATATATTTTATCATTGATTCTATTTACAAAAGGGGAGAAAGAATTTTTTAGTATTAACGTGTAAGCATAAAAATTGGTTTTCAAATTCATAAGGAAATGAACAATTTCAAGTCAGTATGATACAGAATTTTGTACAGGGTAAAAATTGAATCATTTTAATTTTTCAACGTTTAATATTGGCCCGAAGGTATTTTCAAGTTTGAAAATTGATACCAAAATTGTAGAATATATTATCAGGGTCATTTTCTCGAAAGGTTAATATTTAACTTGTTTCTTGGAACTTATAACTTTTATGTATTGAAATTTTTAGACCCTGTCAACGGTGTTTCGCTTTGTTCGATCTAGAGATTATTCACGCGCAAGTATTCTCATCTTGCACATACTTATGTGGTATTGTAAAAGGACCAACCTTATATATTAATTTTTTCAAGTTATTAATTGGTTAAATATTTCAAAAAATATCATGTTTTTAATTCCTTATAACCCTGAATGTAATTCCAGAAATATATGAAGACATTTCACATATTTCATTGACCCCTTGACATTGGTATATTTAATAATTTATCAATTTTCATTACGAATAAAATATTGTTTCCTCGGGTATTCACAGATTTTATGAATATTACATGCAATTGTGAGATATACTTACTTCGAACATACGTGAATAGTCCCTGCTAGGAGCACAGGCCTTCGGACCAGATCGCTTAAAAAAATGTGTGTAAAAAAAAATAAAGATGTGGAACTCTAAAAATATTTTTTAATCAAATGCTATAAATTTTTTCTTTCTTTTTAAATCTATTCATAGATAAACAATCTTTATCTCTACTTGTACCTAAGGTCATTCCGATATTCCATATACTTCTCGAGATATTCTGAAATCAATTTAAAAAATGACCCACCATTTTTTTTTTACTCGAAATTAGCTTGGGCCACTGGTCATTCACATGTACGAGGGTTGTTCATTAAATCCTTTTTGACAATTTTTTTTAAAATTGCTTTCATTGTATAATTTCCTTTGTTATGTTTTGATTTATTTTATTACTTATCTCTGCTTTCTCTGAAGCGCCTATGTCTTTCCTTGACGTAACAAGCGTTAAAGTTTTGTTAAGATTTTTACAGTTAACCGTTTCTTCCCAGATCATCCTCATCCGATATAGAGTCTCTGTCACTCAAATACTACTTGTTCTATTTGTACACACATGCACAACTCGTTTGTGACATAATTTCTTGATTCCTTCAACATTCTTAGAGTTTATTCGGAATTTTTCCTAGGTAAAACACAAAATTGCAACGTTAACTGTTGCTCCGTGACGTTCTAAAGCGTCATCGTTTTTGTCGTTTTCAATATTGATTACCTATCTTGTCAAGTTAATTTCTTTTCAACAAAGCAAAATATAAAAACATAATTTGGTCTTCGAATCGATGTAGCAATTGTTAATTTGTATTTCTAGGTTGTTTTTCTTTTTTGTTCCATTTTACAGAGAGTATGACATTAGACATTAAAATTTAGTGTGTAACTTACTAAATTTTGACCTGCTACGCGATCCGATTTGTGCATTTTAAAAAAATCTGGATAAGTTTTGAATAAATCGTAATATTTTGAAAAAAAAATTAATACGAATCATTTGGATTTATGTTAAAATATTCCTACCAAATTTTTATAACACATGGCGTTAAATAAAAAAAAAATATGGCAGTTGTCCACGAACTTTTCGGACAACCCTCGTAATTATATATATAAAAAGACGGTGTTTGAAGTGCAGCGAAGAGTTGCATAGTATTTGCTAAATCTTTCAACATTTTCAAGTTGATTTCAAGTCCGTAATAATTCCTTCGATTTTTGTAAAATATATATATGAACATTCCCAGGAAGATTTTGTTAAAAATATTAATTAGTGATGCAATAAATTTTATTATCTCTACCTTTAAATGATTTAAACTTAACTAGATTAATGAGTCTTCTCTAAAGTCCTTCTTGAGATTTTTTTCCTCATGGAGACAATGTCATTACCGGTGAAATTCCTGCCGTGAGGGGATGCTCAACTTAGCAGTGCTCCTGTTTATTGATGTTTTGCAGTTACAAAAAAGAAATTCGATTATTGCGAAGATCAAAGAAAAGCCGCGGACATTATTTTTCAATAAATCACGAACGTCATCAAAAAATTATCAGATCAGAAACACGTATCAAACCTGAACAATTCAAATGCATGTTTGGCCCTAGCATGAAATACTTGTTTACACCACATCGATGTATCGTCTTTTGCAGTATAAATACTGTAAATTGCATTAAGTTGCTGATGAATGTTGGTTTTTATAGTTAAGCGGGGCTATTCTTCGGATCTGACTACACATTTAAGAACGTGATTTCAGTCCCAATAGAGCAGTAAAACAGAAACATGATTTTGTTATTGTATATTCATTAAAACTAATCAGTACATATTACAAAGAAATTTGTAATTTAAAAAAGCTATTTTTAATGCAAAGAAAGCTCAAACCGTCTGCATTCTATACCTAGGTAAGCAAACAAATTTTCCCTCTGGTGTTAAATGGAACAGCGTAATGGAGACATTGTGACCTAATTCGTTTCTCTAAAGAGGAAACGATCAGCCGTATTTCAGGATATCTGATCCTCAGCCAGGAAGGATAACTCTAAAAATTATTATTTAATTTGAAATGCATCAAAATGAAGTTTGAAAATAAAATTTTTTCATGCAAAAAATTTCATTTTATTCATCTTTATATGATTCAAGGTCTTTTGGAAGTCTTAGAGAAGGTCTTATAAAAGTTGACATTTTTACCCTATAAAAGAAGAAAAAATTAATACACAGTAACAGTTTTAGAGAAATATGATTTTCGTGAATTCAGCCTTAAATACTAATGTTTATTAGCATGATATGAAAGGAGAAGTGATTTGTCGTGTCTTGCAATGATAGCAAAAGTCTTTTACAATATGTATTATAGATAGAAGACAAAAAATACCAAATAAGTACAGACCCTGAGACGTGCTACTACCCCAAAAAAGCGTGTGACTTTCGTGCGCTTTCCGTTTCGTGCAGACCGTGTAGCGTTTCGTGTAAACCGTGCAGCGTTTCGTGCAAACCGTGTAGCGTTTCGTGTAAACCGTGCAGCGTTTCGTGTAAGCTCCAAAGCGTTTCGTGCAAACCGTGTAGCGAGCGTGCGAAAAGCGTGTGAGAAACGTGCGACTTTCGTGTAAGAACCGTGTGAGAAACGTGCGACTTTCGTGCAAAAATCGTGTAAGATTCATTCGGAAGTCATTTCATTTTAAATGTGGCTATCGATGGGTCAGGATGTCAAATTGTATTAGTATTTAATTATTGAATTAGTTATGCTTGTGATATTTTAGGATTAAAATAAAAAAAAAAAATGGAACAACAAAATGACGTGACACGGTAATGTATAATATATATTTGTTTATTTTCTTTTCCTTCCATAGAAAATGTGTTCAAATTAATCAACTATGTACACAATTTTAGAGGCATTGAATTCAATTTACTATCAACGCGATCATGGCTTCTTAAATATTTTTTTTTCTCAAAGAGAGAAAGAAATCCCGGTATTTTTTTTTTTTATTTAAAGCAAAAATATATCAGGAATCCGCGCATCTACTTACATTTTAAGTACGTGAAAGAAAGTTTTGAAACGATGTGTCATTTAATACATAAAACTCGTTGCTCATTATTGTCAAATAAATGGATTTTATAATTCTAATTCACATGCACTGACGGCCACATGTTTAGAAATTGGGGGGGGGGGGGGGTTAAATTCAATTACTAGTTAACTCTTTCATTTTTTGTTGTAACTTTCAATCTAATGTAATTTTAAATAAATGCTAATTTTTATATTCTTTTTTAATTCCTTTGTTTAATGTGTGCGCAGATACACCCCTTAAAATGTATTGGAATCTTCTTTCCGCCTTTCAACTGTGATCAAGGTCATTTACAACAGCGATCACGGGCTCCGAGTTCATGGCAAAACAAAACCTGTTTTGCTATATGTACATGTCGAGTTCACGGCTTATATGACACCTGAAAATTACGACTGTATTTTATTTTTTTTTTAAATAAAATGGATCTATAAATATTTAATGGGTACAACGTATTTATAAATCAGCGGATTTCATCTTTTATTTGTAAATCCGAATTTCTAGCCGTAAACAGTAAAATAAACAGAACTGATTTGGTAGTTTTTTCATGAACATCATGTTAGAAAAGCTTAGGAGTAAATCATGAATAATTGTATATTATTTGTTTTATAAATCACGTACTTTTTATTTCATCTAAGATATTTCAGTTTTGTTATAATATACCTGAATGCCGGTGTAAAGATCGATCTACATTGTATGTACAGTTGAACAATGTATAGTCAAATGCCGCAACTATTAATTAATGTACACATATATACATACGTTTAGTCGTATTTTTACAGTATGATCGGTATACTGATGTTATTTGATAAGCTTCATGTAAAAAGAGAAATTGAATAAGAATAGATTATGACATCACATTTAACCCTCCACCTTACCGGTTTCCCTCCTATAGATAATGCTTACATATAAGATAAAAAAAAGTCTTTGTAAATGTATCAATTATCGTTTGTAGAGTATATCAGCAAATTTTATTACTAGATCAAAATAAAGAAAAATAATCCGCCCACGGAAATCAAACACAATATAATCAATATTATTTAAAATCAATGAGTTCATTTTCCTGCAGTAGGAAATCGAATTTGTGTTTAATTTATTAAATTATACTCGTAAAAATATTGCATCGAAATGAATGACTAATATATAAGAATTGTATTTTATTAAACAGTCATTCATGATATCGGTATTCCGTTTTTAAATAAATAAATAAATAAATACGAAATGACAATTATTTATTAATTAATTACAACTGTCAGAGGATTAAATATTTCTATCGGTTTATATAATACTAGTGTACTGATATTTAATTTA